ATATAGATCCAAATATTGTATCTTAGATCCAAAGCTGGGCTTTCCTCAAAATTCAGATAGGGTAGCTTGAATTGGGCATTTTAGTTCAGTGCATAATAGGAATAGGTACTGGTTTTAAGTTCAAATCCAGATCATGGTTTGGGTCTATCTTTGTTTTTAATCTCTGGTGCCTGGCTGAAACTCAGTGGCTGATGATCTTCCCCTAACCCACTCCCCCTTCATATAGTTATTTCTGATGGCAAAAGGGAGATCTGATTCAGTTATCACTCGAGATGTTAAATTCTGATTAATCGGCTAATCGAGTAGTCAATGGAATTTCCACTACTCGATTAGTTGGGGCGGAGGGGGAAGAGGACTTATTATCCCCGCTGTGGCTCTTCAGTTTAAATGTAACAGGAGTCAGACATACAGCAGAGCCGCAGTGTCCCAGAGCCAGTGCGAACTGGGATTGCTTAGTCCTGGCTCATGCTGGCCCTGGGAGCTAACCCCACTGCACCTCCCCGACCCCAGGAGGTAACCCCACCACCTGGCTCTTACTACGTTTAAAAGGCAGCCACAGCTGCACCTCTGCCTTCCCTGCTCCCCTTCTGGCACCACGGAAACAGTGCTGGGGGGATCCGGCTTCTGCTCCCGCCCCTTCCTGCCTCTGATTTAGAGGGAGCAAGGGGGGTGGAATGTGAGTACTTGACTATTTGACGACTCTTTTACATCCATAGCTCTCAAGCCATAGCCACGCTAAACAGAACTATTCCCATAGCATAGCCCAACAATGCAGCAAAACACAGTCAGAGGCCAATGCTAGCCTTAACAGACAAATTAATAGGTCTATATCTGCTTTCATTTACACTGCTACCAAACCAGTGGGTTTCACTAGTGTGGATATTACTGAAAGCATAGTGTGCCCAAGAGATTGGTTTTGCCTTCTTACTGCACTGGGAATATGCTCAAATATATTCTACAATGGAGAGAAGAAGATAGAACTGGAAAGGAATGTCTTTGATTAATGTGAAACAAGCCCCCTGCATTTAGACAGAGTGTTTTATGCATTCCTATAATAGTGCCACCATTTTAATTTTTTAAGAGCACTCTTAAGGCAGGAACTGCCAATAGCACCAGAACAATTAGGGCAGAAATTTCCTCCACTGTTGTAAATCTGTCCCTAATATTTGGTGAGCTCATGGGTCTCAGCCAGACTACAGGGAGAGAGTTTTCTCCAGGAACTGACGTGAGGGGAGTATGAGCGGGGGAAAGGGAAGGAGTGGAGTTCAGCTTCCTCTCTGCTACAAGTATAGGGAGAGCTTCATCCACCTCTGAGTCTGGGGCTGTTGAAAGTCTTGGGAGAGCCACCCTCCTCCTTGGTTGGTGTGGAGCCTTCCTCCTGCTGTTTCAATCTACTGTAACCCCTGATTTGCTCTCCCTCTTATCCTCTCCCCCATCCCAATAACGTGGAAGCACTATATAATAAGTCTTAATTCGGTAGCTCTTGGGTACTGTGAGGGTCCGAAATCCTTTCTCCAAACACACGCTCCACCCTGCAAACATTTTGTCCTAGACATCCAAACACACCCCTGCCATCTAAGGCTCATAACATCCCCGTTAGCTTCGTCCTTTCTGTTGCCAGGTGCTGTTATGGCATTGCCAGTCACCCATCAGCAAGGAGAGTAGAAGGGTTGGTGTTCATGCCACTAGTATTAATGTCTTTCCTCAGGGAGGTGGGGGGCACAGCCCTCCAGGGACTGAGAACAATACAGGGTAGAAGGGAGAGCGTGTTCATTAGAGTCACTCCAGTTATAACACCTCCAGAATGCTACCCACACCGGGAGAGAGGCTCAGACGTACTGCTTCCTACTGGATTCTCCAAGGACCAACAAACAAAGGAAGGAATTTTGGTTAAGTAGCGTGAGTTAAAACTGACACAGGACCTTCTTTTTTGGTCCTGCAAATGAATCAGGTCTTCTGTCCAAGAGAGGCCCCAGTCGTTAGGAAAGGGTTGGAAGGATTTGCACTACCAAGGCCCCATAAGACTGAGGGTTTGTTGTGGACTTACAGCTACAGTGAACTTGCCAAAAAGCCTGTTGGAGGAGATAACCACCGAGAGCCCTTGTTGGAGCGAGGGAGTGATCTCTGGGAAGCTTATTAGCACTCATGTAGGTTCTTCTATTGTTTTTAATGTGTTTTCTCTGTAATGCTTTCACCTTAAGAATGAATGTGCTGGCTCCCAAGAGCTATGTGGTAACCTACCTGTCGGCCATTTCTGAGGAGAAAGGCAAAGCAGGCCTGTGTAAGCAATCTGACCTTGCGGGGGGATTCACAGTACAGGCAGGGAACTGTGCAACCTGGAAATTCCCCGATAAGGAGTAAGAGAGGTGTGTCTCCACCCAAGAGCGAGGACAGCTCAGGGAATAGGTGAGCACTGACCTGTGACAGGGAGCCCTGCAGTGTGAGTTTTTTCTATCAGCTTACAGAGCAGAAGGAGAGAAGGGATGGTCCAGCTGTTAGTAAGTGCCCATGGGCAGTGGACTATCCCGATTCAGTTTCCTTCCATGCCACAGATCATGGGCAAGTCACTCAGTCTCTCTGTACCTCAGTTCCCCATCTGTCAAATGTGGATAATAGCACTTCCCTACCTTACGTGGGGTTATGAGGATAAATACATTAAAGATTGAGGCATTCAGATAGGAACTTAGATAAATAGAGACCCCGGCGGTACTTGCAAATCCCTTTTCTGCCCTGAGGGATGCCACAAAAATCCGGTTTCTCTGAATTCTGTTTAAAGGGCTCCCTCCCTGTCTGGTACAATGCCATTAAGTGCTGTCATCTGCCTTTGGGTGATACAT